GGCAGACGCGTGAGGGCAGACGTCGTTGACGGTTGTGTCCGTTTTGCGAATTTTCAAGGCACTAGCGATTTGATAAAAACGTATGGTCGCCTACTTTAAGTAATATAGGCCTAAGGTTAGTTATTGCCAGGTTTCTTTTTGGTTAGTAGTTACACGTACAAAAAGATACTTCATTTTTACGAATTACTTCATTGATAATTCAATTACTATATAGATAGGTTACTTACCGTTGATTATAACAAATATATAAATAGGTTAATTGTAACAAATTACTTCATTGATAATTCAAGAAGGCATATAGTGAAGGCTACAATTTTAACTGGAGAAGCCAAGGGAGATAATGTTTTTATACCGCGCATCTCAATCATACCCAACAACTTGCCATTCAATTTTAAACGCCTGCAGTTCCCATTAAAAGTCGCATTTTCAATGACGATCAACAAATCGCAGGGTCAAACCTTGAAGGTAGCAGGCTTACAGTTGGGCACGCCATGTTTTTCTCACGGTCAGCTCTATGTGGCTTGCTCACGTGTTTCCAAACCGAAGAATCTGCATGTTTATGCTGAAGGAAAAAGATCGTTAAATGTAGTTTATAGGAGCATACTGCAGTAGCTACCTATAGACCTATGATTAGGGCTCTGCAGTGCTTAGTTACCGTATTTCTTACTTATTACTAGACTAGACTAGACGGGACGAACCTGAAGACCACGCGAACGAAGTCGCGGGCAAAAGCTAGTAATATTATAATATCTAGTAAAATTTTAACTTTAAATACTATAAATACATATAGAGGTATAAGTAATAAACGTAAAATCTCCGAAATAGTGCTTTTTAGAAAAAAAAAATTTTTTATAGATTTAATTAGCTTTTGCCCGCGACTTCGTCCGCGTGGAATAGTGACTTCCGGCAGATTTTTAGATCTTCCCACATAGTTCCCGTTCTTGCGGGATTTTCGGAATGGTCAAGTTCTCGCAGAATTTTCACGATAAAACATAGGTTTTTTTTTCGAGTTCCAAATTACATCTGTACAAATTTTAAAGTAAACTAAATTATTTTAAAGAACTTCTGCATATACTACATTTTTTGTTTTATTATCTTGTGGCAGAAGAACATATTGATTTTCGCCACAACCCGATTTTGATAACGCGACATATAACTGGCCGTTCGAAAAACAGTCTTGGCGTAAATCGATCCCCACGTGTTTGAATGTTTGCCCCTGTGATTTATTTATTGTGACTGCGAAAGATAATTTAAGCGGAAATTGTATTCTTTTAAAATTGAAAGGTAAGTCGTTGGGTATCATTGGGATGCGGGGTATGAGGTCTGTTTGACCAACTGCTGGACCATTCAAAACTATTGCAATGATGACGTCATTGCGCAGAAATTTTACTTGAAGTCGGGTCCCGTTGCATAAATTTAGATTTCTTAGTAAAATTATTGGGGCACCTATTTTTAACTTAAGAGAATGTGGGAGAAGGGGGAATTGAGGAACTCCTGTGGGTAATTAACTACATCTTCTTGATCCATCACGGTATCAATGGATGTGTAGGTTACAATATCTCCTGGGAGTTTACTCAAAATGATATCATTTATTTCGTCAACGCTACTATTTCTTGCCGCCTATATTGCTCTTTGACACATCCATTGATGGTCCTTGTTTTCTATTTAGCTGATGTCAGGGTATACCTTAGTTACTAATTCCTCGATGTTACCCACTTTTGCTCCTAAATTGCAATCAATTTCAATTTTATTATTAGAATGAGGTATTTTCCCGTCTCCTACAGAAAGTAATTTTGAAGGGAAAGTTATACTACCTACCCCCAAATGTGCTCTCATATTTGTCGATAATTTTAAAATATTTACAAATTTCCATAATGGAGAACTCTTAAGGCAAGCCACAATGAATCATTTCGAACCGCCTCGTCGCGCACCTGACGGACATTGGGCCGGACCTGTCGGACGGCCAGTTCGGCTTCCGCAGAGGGCGCTCCACGGAGCTCTATGTATCATGGTACATTCGTCCCAGATTATTAGACTGGCGTCTTGTAAAACTTTCCCTAAAGGGCCATTTTTGCGTATAGAGCATACGCTATCTTTCTCTGAAGACACAGTTAGGGGCAGTTTAAAAGTGGAATGAGCTGTGTGTCCACCTGCTAATAAGATTGCAGCAATACCTGACGACGCTACTGCCAAGGCTAGCTTTCCTAGAGATCTTACTTTTGCTAATATAACATTAGTGATAAACGTCTTGCCGGTCCCACCGGGAGCATCCAAAAAGAAAATTCTTCCTTCATTAAAACGAACACTTTTCATGACACAATTATACGTTGTCACCTGGTCATTAACTAATCTTAGTTTATTTTGTGTGATATACTCATTTAATTCATTTATGTTATATGGTTTTCGTAACGCAACTTCTAACGGGTCCAGAAGCGAATTATTTCTTTTTGATGCAGGAAGCCCAAAGTCGGTTAGGATTTATCTGAAATCTCATGAATTTTATCTTCAATTATGATTAGTCCGTCATTGTATATATCATCATTATATGCTAATGTCATATCCTGATTCTCATTACGCATTCTGTTTAATATATCTTCACATAAAGCATCACGAAATTTATTCTATAACTCTAAGAGGTCAGATGGTTGGCAAAATATAAGGATAGTGGTAAATAATTCTCTTAATTTTGTAGCTGGCTCGGATATGATAGCATCGGACATTGTATTTTGCCAATGTTCATCTCCCTCCAGTAAACCTAATTCCTTGCAAGCGCCTTGGTACGTTTGGAAAATAACACCATTCACGGTTCTTAGATGTTGAAATGACATTGGGCCGCGAACTTATTGCAGTAACATTCTTAAATAAAAACATTCAGTTTAAGTTGGATGAATGTTATAAACACGGCCTAAAGTTGTGTCTTTTTTTTTACACCGGGATATCCCTCAACATCTTGCCCGCGTCTTCTTCTAGTATGTAGTAGTAGTAATAAAAGATGTAAGCGTTTAACGTATTATATTAAAGAGACGTCTGAATACTTTTTATACCATATTTGATTACGCGATCTTTCCATGGGAAATGCCGAAAGTAGTTGGTCTTTTTATCATCCTCATATATTAAAAATTCCATATTTTTCTTTACCGCCAACAGTACCTTTGTGGTTTCTAAATAGCATGGACACAACACTGGCATCACGCCACAATATTACGTGCAAGTACAGAACAAAAGCTCTGCACCATTTCCCCTTGCCTCAACTAAGTCTTTGACACTGATTTGACAGCTTTAGGGACAATTTCACGATTTATTCGCGGAGTCCCATAGCAATCTGCGCCTTGAGACTTCAAATGTCGTGTCGTGTCGTCGTGTTTTGGGAGTAGGGATATGAGGATTGTTGGGGATTCAGGGATTGGGGAAGGGGGTGTGTTGAAATTTAGGCAGGGGCTGATAATAAAACACGCAGACATTCAAGTACGATAATTTTATATTATCCTTTTATAACTTGGAAGTAATACGTCTGGATCCTACCACAGAGTATAACGGAATGAAATTTAAATCGTTAGAGGTAGATCGAAGTAAACAACAAGATGGCGGCTTGATTGCGTCATTAAAAACTGTCAAGTCTAGTCATTACAAAGATTATTTTTTTGCAATCTCAATCAAACAAATCAACACGCCCCCTCAAAAATTAATCTGGAGTACAATAACAATCTGCCTAACCAGAACTGTATATCTTCCAAGTAGGTTTGGGAAAAATACAATTATAATGATCCAACATTTGTTGCTCGGATAAGGAAAACCCAGTAAAACCTTATCAGATCATTCCATCAAAATCCTACTACTATTATAAAGGCGAAAGTTTGTATGTATGGATGTATGGATGTTTGTTACTCTTTCACGTAAAAACTACTGAATGGATTTGAATGAAACTTTACCACAATATAGCTTATACATCAGAATAACACATAGGCTATAGCTTATACATCAGAATAACACATAGGCTA